AGAGAGACAGAGAGAGAGAGAGACAGAGAGACAGAGAGACAGAGAGAGAGATAGACAGACAGACATTATTCATTTTTTATTTGCTGTTGATAACTGTGTGAATACATTCACCATGTGTTGTTTGTAAAAGGTACAACATTAACAAATAGTACCTGTACTTAAGTTAATGGCAATATATTCATGACAGAAACTGTTTTTTGCGGGGTTGTCTGGAGACAAAACCCCTGAGTTTTCCAACTGCAAATATTGACTTGAAAATTATGACTTTTTGACTTTTTCATAGAGCAACACCTTGACATGATGTTCTAAAACTAATGCCATTTCTGGAATCAGTGACCCCAAATTAGCATAGAACAAGTCTTAAACCTTATGCAGCAAATTGTGTGTTGATCAATGTTATCTGTGCTTGTGTTTGTCTTTCTCTTCCCAGACTATTTAGATGTATATGTCGGTGATGACACTTTGAAGACTCAAGTGCTCCTGTGGTCTATGCCAGTGTCAGGAAGACAATCAGAGTGGACTCTGGCACAAGTTCCAATACCTACTCAAAAGAACTTTTATACGGTATGAATTGCTTTTGCTTTATTCATAGAACAATTTACTCATGCTTTACCAGCATAGGTGTCAAATTTTCTTTTCTTATTGTATCATGAGCATGTTCATGAACCACCAAGTAAATTGTGTCACTCATTGTATGTACCTCGATCTCAGAAGAATCAGTAAAATAAGGCACCTTATTTCAAATGGTATTACATGCTTGCTCTCTGTCTCTCTTGCCTTGTTAAAAGTTGACTATTTCAATTCTTTTCTGTCTATTATTTCATGTGAGAGAATTGCAAATGGCCCAAAATATCACCACAAGACTAGTACTGAAGAAAAAGAGGAAAGATCCAGCCTCAAAAATGTTAAAAGCTCTGCAGTGGCTTCCAGTTGATTTAATAAGAATCCAATGTAAAGTTTCTACCATCTATTATAAATATCTTAACAACACTGCCCCAGTATATCTTCTGAGCTTTTAACACCACATATTCCATCTCTTCAGTTATGGCCATCCACAGATGCAACAAAATTTAGAGCCCCCTTGAATGAAATTAAGATCTTTTGGTGAGAGAGGTTTCTCCTTTTTTTACCGTAAAATCTGGCACTCATGCCCCAGGATCTCAGAGAAACAACAAATTTTAATAAGTTTAAGTGATTGCTCAAGGCTCATTTGTTTAATTCTTAGTTGTAGTGTGTTAGTAAGTGCTATTATGTTTTGCTTTTACCGCTATCCTTATAAGTATATAATTAATGTATGGTTGAGAAAGTTCTTCTCTATGCAGTCGAATGGGTTTTCTGGTTATTGTAAATTGTTTTATCTTGTGTGAATGATGTGTTACGATCAGTGATCATGTCAAAGGGCTCAGAGCTTATACTCGTATGGTAAAGAGTACTATATAAATGCAATCTAATACCGTATTATTATTATCATTATTGTTATCACTTCTGTAGAGCATTTCGACTTAAACTTTTGTGAATTTATAAACTAACTTTTCACAAAGGGATGGAGGATTTTACAACATTGCTCTTCTGCTTCAGAGATATAGCTTCTGCAGTTCAGTGACCAAAACAAAAATATCTTTAAAAAGAAACCTTGATCCAGTAATAAAAAAGTTTATTTCGGCCCTTTATAAACTCTCTTTGGATGCATACACAGGATCACCAAGAAAATGAGTTACAGTAATTTAGCCTACAAATGGCTCATTTTGAGACAGCCACACCACCCTGCCCCCACGTTGCAGGGTGAGCTTGTGGATTTTGTCTCACCACTCTCTAGATGTCCCCACATGAGTTTTTAAAAGTACTCACCCCGTCTGTTGGGCCATGTTTCTTTGGTGAACTTTAAAGTGTGGTATTGAGGAAAATGGGTCAACATTTTAGAGTTTTAGATATATGCTGTAAATGTCCTATTATTTTTTTGGCCCCGCTTTAGGTTGAAATCAAAGAAAATGTGTCAGAACCTTAGTTTGCAGTGATCTTTATCAATGGGTTTTTAGATTCTGTCGGTCATCCATCCAACTTTTAAAATTGTAAGCAAAGATCTTAGAAAATTAAACAGGTCAAATTTGATTTTATCTTATTGCAACTGTGGTCAGATAAACGTGAACAAGCTATAAGAAATTGTACTATGAACTTCTCCTTTATATCTATTGCTTTGTTTGATCAATTTGGTCATAGTTCTTAATATTAATAAGCTTAGCCAGAGCAGCCCCCAGAAAGTCTAAACTTGGTTTAGCAAGTATGATTTGTTGGTTTAACGACAAACATTTCTAAATCTCCACAGATCACCATTGTCGGCATTGTTGGAAATTCTGTTTATAACGCCCTGTCATTGGATGATTTTGTAGGCAGACGCACTGCAAGCACAACTTGCTCACGTATGTACCACTGACAGAACTACAGGCTTTAATTTTTTTTTGGGGGGGTAAGTGTTTTATGGCTCTGCGCGCTCATATGACCTTATGCAGTTGTGAGTGCCATCAAACACTTGCCGAAAAAAGCGAGGAGAGCCATGCTGAGACTGTGTACTGGCTGCATGCAGTGCGCCAAGGCTGAAATATATGTGAGACAGAGTGGTGAAATCAGGCGCTCATCAAAACAATGAAACAAAAGACCAGCATTTTTCTGAATGTTGGGCATTTTTTCAAGAATTTAATTCTTTTTTGGCTCAACACATTTTATATACATTTGAAACACATTTCTGTATAGAAGTTTCTGACAATCGTTGATTAAAGGCACAAAACATATAAATTTACAGTTTCAAAGGACTCTCAAGCTTTGGAAGTCACCAATCTTTGGCAGCCATTTTCTCCCTAATTTTACTTCTGAAACCAGACGACCCCATCTCCTTCAATCACAAATATCTCAAGTTCTATTCAAGATAAGTGAGTAGTTTTTTCTTGGAAACATAAACCTGTAGACAAGTTTTAAGATGATACCCAATAACCCCACATGCTAAAAAATTGAGGCGCGCCTGATTCCACAACGTCGTGACACATGTTGTGGGCAAGCTGTTCAAACGTTCTAGGAAGGCCTGAAGGCAAAATTTGGGAAGAGAATGAATTGTTTCATTCTGCAACAACTTATTTATGCATCTTTTCTTGCTTTTTTCAACATCTAAATTTGAATTTTTACAAAATATTATTAATTTTGAGCAAGCACTTGCAACAGACGCCGCTGATGAAGAAACTGCAATTCAAACATTGCATATTTCTGTCACTGGGCCGAATCAGGCTGGGAGGAATTAACAATTTCCTTTGATGGACAAAATATGGATAATAGAAAATATAGTGAAATTCACCTTCAATTTCATGAGAGTTATTCCTCTCACATAAGGGTGAATTTATTAATTTCCATCGATAGAGAAGCTAGTTAATGATTTGTTACCAAGATTTCATTGTGTCTGCTTCCAATATGAACTTACCCACCCAGTGGGCCTTATTAATAACAATGAAATAAATAGCTTTTGTATAGTGCATAGTCCTGCTCGGCAGCAAGCTCTGTGCACATTACGTTGTATTAGAAAAATACAACTCTTTACATATGCTTGGGGTAAAGCCAGCAGATAGAAGAATGTTGAGGACAGCTGTGAGATTACTCTAATATTGTCAGATTGGGAGAAAACTGGTCGGGAGGGTGATACTGGAAACTGGTGGAGTGTATTCATAACTAGTTAATGAAAGAAGTGAGTATTTGTGTGGCGTCATTGTTTCTACATTTTTATGTGATTTTAAAGAAAAGGAGTTGGGTAAAGTACAGTCTTGAGAATGTCAAGAGCAAAACTTTAAAATTGTTTTAACATTTAAAAAAAATTGTATTTGATGTTTGAATGCTTCTATAGATATCTTATACTTTGTCTGAGGCTTGCATTTATTCTTAAGATACCCACATCTATATTCATATTTAAGCTGTTTTTCCCACGCCCTGCCACTGCCACCACTGCTATGTAATGAATGTAAAGTTACCTGGCGGTCCGATGAGTCGGGTCTGTCAGGAGCCCCCCCGTCTAGGATAGATGTTGCCTTGTCCTTGTCCTTGTCCTGTTTGCGACCGAATCTCTCCATGAGTGTCTTTCAGACGACGTGGACCTAGTTCCCGCAGCTCAATGGGACGTCATCCAAGGGCGTGCCACTCCCTTAATTATCATGTCCCCATAGTAAAGATAAGAGTCATGTCCCTTGACATTACAAATGAGAATGATAAAACAAAAGTTTCCTTCTCCCCCCACCCCTCCACCCCCTTCATCATGAACAGGGATGCCCTCCAATGCTGTGCCAGGCTCCCGGTCTACACCTACCACTCCTGCCACCCCTGCAGGAAGCACACCACCTGGTAAGTTTCTGATGTTTTTTCTAGGTAATTTCTTAACATCACTGAATGGTAACCATGAGCACATTGCTAAATCTATGTTTCTAGGGCTCATTTAGCCTAGAGCAGGCTGCAAACAGTAAGTAATGAGTTCAGACTCAAAAGTAATGTCAAGCAAGTGTCGGTGACACAGGGTTTATATGGGTGGCCACTGGGATATGTCCTTGAGCAAGACATGACAACCCTAGCTAAAAAAAAAGGGGGCGCTGCACCGTGGCGTTCAGCAATGGCATATTTGTGAACTTGTTCTGTATTTGTGTAATATTTTTTTTCAAATGCATGTATGCATGTATGCCATTGTATCCCAAATTTCCCCACAGGGATTAATAACATGTAATTAATCATTATTATTATTTTTTATTAAATTATTATTATTATTATAATTATTATTATAATTATTATTATTAGGCCTGTAATTATTATTATTATTATTATTATTATTATTATTATTATTATTATTATTATTATTATTATTATTATTATTATTATTAATATTCATTCTTTTTCTTTTTTTTCCAGCCTCCAAGTCACAGTGGGACTGCAATTTTGAATCTGGACTTTGCAACTGGACTCAGCTGCACTCTGATGATTTTGACTGGACCAGGGCACAGGGCCCGCAGGGTACAAATCTGACAGGACCCACCAAGGACCATTCTCGTGGAAATAGTAAGTATAGCGTCTGTGGAATTTTTCTATTTCACATGCTTTCATCTTTTTATGAGTCTGTTATTATTGTTGTTGTTGTTTTTGTTGTTGTTGTTGTCGTTGTTGTTGTCGTTGTTGTTGTTGTTGTTGTTATTGTTGTTGTCGTTGTTGTTGTTGTTGTTGTTGTTGTTGTTGTTGTTGTTGTTGTTGTTGTTGTTCTTCTTCTTCTTCTTCTTCTTCTTCTTCTTCTTCTTCTTCTTCTTCTTCTTCTTCTTCTTCTTCTTCTTCTCCTTCTCCTTCTCCTTCTCCTTCTCCTTCTCCTTCTCCTCCTCCTCCTCCTCCTCCTCCTCCTCCTCCTCCTCCTCCTCCTCCTCCTCCTCCTCCTCCTCCTCCTCCTTATAATTATTGGTGCTATATAATTATTGATGTAATTATTATTAATGTTGTTATTATTATTGTTATTATTATTATTGTTGTTGTTGTTATTATTATTGCTGCTATTGTTACTGTAATTGTTATTGTAATTGTTATTATTATTATTATTATTGTTATAATTGCAATTATTATTATTATTATTACTATTAACTTACTTAAATAATTGATAATTATTGATTATTATCATTGTCATCATCAACATCATTATCAACAGCATCTTCATTATTAATTTTATCAGTTTTATTGGAGAGGGCGTGACCCAAAAAAATGTTCTCGTTGTCTTTTTTTGTAGCTGGGGGCTCTCGTGGCCTAGAGGTTATGATGTTTGCCTGGCTTCAAATCCGGGTAGCGACGAAGAATTTTCTTCTCTAAAATTGTCTCGTTTCTCTTCCCATCCTGCTCTCTTGCAATGTTCTGTCGTCTGCTTTCATCTCCTCTTTCTGTCCCCCCCCTTCACCTCCTTTGCCCTCCCCCCCTCTGGGCTCCTGACTCTTTCTGCAGCTTTTCTACTGCTACTCCTTGGCTCCTTCTTACTGCTGTCTTTCAGCCACACCCCTGATCATCTAGTACTCAAAGATCTACATCTAGCCTTCTCAGATAAGGTAAAAAAATCTGGGAGGTTCCGTGTGCAAGTTGCGCACGTTAAAGATCCCTTGGTGGTCTAAAATTGATAAGTGTCTGCCACCCAGGCGAAATTCAAAATTTCCTACAAACTGAAAATGTGTAATGTGTCCCTTCACTCATAAGACCTTAAACAGTTGCAAACACCGTAAAACACTTATTTAAAAAAAATCTTCAAGCTGGACGTGACCCTTCTCTATTTGATTTTCCTCAGACTTTGGATGGTACCTGTACATTGCATCTCGCTACACATCAAACCCCTCAGCAGCGCCTGTTAAGGCATTGCTGCAGTCTCCTGCTCTGGCTGCTTCTACGACATACTGTGTCCAGTTCTACTACATGATGTTTGGTCCCCATGTGGGTTCACTCAATCTGTACATACCCTCTTCGGTGAGTTTTTATTTCTTTTTTTTTTTAGCAAGAGTTTTACACACCTTCAAACACAATAAGGTAATTTATTATTAATTCCAAAGATTAGAGGAGTTGCAAGAGAATAACAAACACAAGAAAGAGGGAGGAGAGAAAAGGATGTCAGATGCTTAATAGAAAACAAGGACTTCCATGAGTTCTGATGTCTTGTAATGACTCTTGTCAGTTTGAATCAGATGCTGGTCAATTTTTGGATATATGGAGTTTTTTGTAAGATCTAAAAGCTTGTTCATTTGTCTTGTTTCTGCTGAAAAAAACACCATCTATACTGAATAGACGTCGAGATATTTCTGATTTAAGGAAGTGAGGTTGTCAGGCATCAGAGATAAGATTAGTGAGAAAATGGCTTCCAAAGTTTGGAGACTTCCAAAGCTGTAAAGTCCTTGAAAAATACAAATTTTCACTTTTTGTGCCTTTGATCAGCGTTTTTCAGTGAAATCCATGCAGAAATGTGTTTTTAAATAAACGTAAAAGATGTTAAGCCAAAGAACAAAAACTAAATAGAAATTTGCTAAACCAGTGGAAAAATGCCATTTTCTTCAGCTTCATTATAATTTTTATGAGCACCTCTTTTCACCACGATGTCTTGGATTTTGTTCTGCAGTTGAATTTCAGGTACTTTATTTCTAATAAAAATAACGAGGGGATAAAATTTGATTTTGTTCTCTGATTGAATTTCAGGGGAGCTCACCTTCATCTTCAAACAAGTATGCCACAGTCAGTGGCAACCAGGGAAATATGTGGCATAAGTTGACGGTGACTGCCTCAAGTTCGTCATTGCAAAGAAATATCATCATTGAAGGAGTTCGGGGCCCCAGTTACCTGGGTGACATAGCCATCGATGATATTTCTGTTACCACTGGATCATGCCCTCGACCCAGTAAGTATGACCTCCTAGATTCAGTAGAAGTGAAGGGAGAAAGAAAGGCAGACAGGAAGGAAAAAAGAAAGAATGGAAAAAAAGAATAAGCAAAGACAGTGTGTGTGTGTGTGTGTGTGTGTGTGTGTGTGTGCGGGTGTGTGTATGTGTGTGTGTGTGTGCGGGTGTGTGTGCGTGTGTGTGTGTGCGGGTGTGTGCGGGTGTGTGTGTAAGCAGATTATATGAAAGTGTGAAAGTACGTGTGTGTATTTGTGTGTAAATTTTTGTCTGCCTATTTTTCTCTGACTTCACTCCATATCATATTCACATTTAGGGACCTGGATAACAAAGAACTCTATGCTCTCATAAAAAAACCCACCCCCCTCTTCTGAAGAAATTGGTTCTGTCTGTTTGCTGATGGTTAGTGGGTGCTCTTTTGTGGTTTGCTCCTTCTTTTCTATCAAACATCTATTGTCCTGATCTCTCCTCCTTTTTTGTGTTCGTTACTAGCTGTCTTGTAACACTTCTAATCTTCAACACTTATATGACCTCATTGTGTTGTGAGTGCTGTAAAACTGTCAGTCTCTTTCTGAGCCAGGTTTCCTGTGAGGTAGATGAAGAATTTCATTTTTTGCTTATCTGACTGCACCGTGATAACTAGTAGTGGTGTGTGGAGTGCTTATGTTTGTAATGTTGTGTATGGTTCCTGCAATTATGAATTGATGTATTTGTGAATTTAAGTACACCCTTGAAAAAAGATTTCCAATTTGTATGTTTGTTTGTTTGTTTGTTTGCTTGTTTCTTCCTTCCTTCCTTCCTTCCTTCCTTCCTTCCTTCCTTCCTTCCTTCCTTCCTTCCTTCCTTCCTTCCTTCCTTCCTTCCTTCCTTCCTTCCTTCCTTCCTTCTTTTATTCATTCATTCATTCATTCATTCATTCATTCATTCATTCATTCATTCATTCATTCATTCATTTACTCATTCATTCATTCATTCATTCATTCATTCGTTCATGTATTTATATCTTGCAGACACGAAACATTAGTAAAAAGTTGAATGTAACAAATATATTTTCTGCTCCGCCTGCAGGTGGTCCGGACTGTAGCTTTGACCTGGGTCCCTGTGGCTGGACACAGAGCACTGCTGATGACTTTGACTGGATCGAACACAGTGGCACCACCAGCAGTTATGGGACTGGCCCCAGCAATGACCACACCTTGGGAACTAGATATGGTAAAATTCTTTTTTTTGCACTAGTGTGAATATAGCAATTGAACAACAATGATATGATGTGCCTTTGCCCACTCTTCTTCACGCACCCTCATGCAGTGGTTCACGCATGCATACACACTCACAGACACACACATATAAACACACACACACACACACACATGCTCATACACACTCACACACACTCGCACTCGCACACACATACACATACACAGACTCACATGTACACACATATATACACATAATACAAACGCACACAAACATACTCACTCTTTCACACTCACACAAATACACACACACACACACACACACACACACACACACACACACACACACACACACACACACATTACACAAACAAAAAATATGAATGACCACAGTAAAAAAACAACCCCAAAAATAAAAAACCCAGCAAAGTAATTTTGTGTGACAAAAATAAAAACAAATGGAAAACAATGAACTCATTTCTCTTCTTTGCGTTTTCCTGCTAGATCTCAGGGGTAGTTGTCTGCTGGTTCTTCAACCTGCAAAGCAACTGATTTTTACACTTGTGGCTTTTTTTCCTACTTAATAGGGCCCCTTGCCTTCTGGCAGCCACATTCCGATTTTGAAGATACTCTATATGTTTTTTATGCTTGGTAGAGTATTTTCAGTTTTGGTAGGAAATACATTTTTAATTTTGTTTGGGTGGCAGCCGAAGCTACTCCTATGGATTTTTAGGACCACCAGTAGATCTTTAATGTGTGCAACTTGCTGTTCTTGGGTGAGGAATTTTTTTCTTTTAATTGAGTATTTGCTAGGATGATGAATCCCTCTAAGCCTTGGTTGACCATAACATGCAAGTTCAAAACTAGATCACCTCCTAGATGGTCCAAAATTGTATCGATAGGGGCATAAAACTTTTACAACAACAATTTACAATTATTTCACTTTATGATATTGACAGAAATAACAAAAACGCACAAGTTATGAGATTGGTAATAGCAACAAGAACAACATGAATCACTTCTCAGATTGGTAATAGCAACAAGAACAACATCAATCACAACATCAATCACTTCTCAGATTGTTAGTAGCAACAAAAACAACATCCATCACTTCTCAGATTGATAATAGCAACAAAAACAGCATACATCACTTCTCACGTGAGTGCTCGCTGTTACTCTTTTGTTACTCCCCCCCACCCCTTTTCCCTTGTTCCTTTCAGGGAAGTATTACCACATGGAGGCAAGCTCACCTCACCTCAAAGACCAGTATACTTATTTTGTGAGCCCTAAGCTGACCACTACAAGTTCCCAGTGCTTCGGCTTCTGGTACCACATGAGTGGCAAGGATATGGGCAGCCTGGTGGTTGGAATCATGAAGGACTCCGATATGAGCAGCATTTCACCTCCCTTCCAGCCCTTGTGGTTTAGAGCTGGGCATCAGAGCTCGGAATGGCTCAGAGGGGAAGTAACACTTGACTACCCCGGCGAAGCATATCATGTAAGTTTGAAGAAGTAATTGTTTTTTGTTTTGGTAAGTGTTTTTTAGCGCTCGCAACTGCATAAGGTCATATGAGTGCTCGGGACACATTTAACATTTTCAGTTTGGTAGGAACTTGGAATTTTTTTCCGGTGGCGGCCAAAGCCTACTCTTATCAATTTTAGAACCACCAAGGGATCTTTAACATTCACAACTTGCACTCATGACCTCCAAGATTTTTCACCCTTATCCGAGAAGGCTAGGTGTTAGAGAAGTTATAGAAGTTTGGTCTGAAAAAAATGGATCACTTGGTTTCCTTGTGGGGCAAACTGCATTCCACTAATTTTTATAAAAGTTTATGAAGACATATATATTTTTTGTGAGGCATGGTGGTGAAATTTGGTGTTCAGGGGTCTGCCAGTGTCAATAACAAGTGCAACTATCCATGCAAATTATTTCTAACGTTTTCTTGCTTCCTGAGTTGAATTAGGACAACATTGGTTGTCATATAACTCTTTTTATATATGAATTTATTTGAACTAGTGTTCACGATTTTGTAATGGATATACTGTTGAACCTGCCAGGACAGTCACCCGTTTAAGACAACGAACTGTATAAATGGCCATTTTCTATATTCCCTTTGCCTTTGTTTTCTATATCGTGGTACTGCCTGAAATGATAACCTGTCCAACATGGCCACACTCACTATATCTTATGAATCCAACAGCTCAGAAAACCTGTCCAAGAAGGCCATGCAAATCTGTCATCACCCAACGTGTTGCCATAAGCTATATATGTGAGACATCGCTGTGAAATCGGGCGTTCGTCAAAATATTGAAATCAAAGAAATCTGCCTTTTTTTGCCATTGGACAATTTTTTTTATAATTTTGTTTTTTTGACTGAGTACCTGTTATGTCCATTTAAAAACACATTTTTGTGTGGATTTTACTGAAAAACATTGATTATAGGCTCGAAAATGTAAATTTTCAGTTTCCGAGGACTCTCAGGCTATGGAAGTTACCAAACTTTGGTGGCCATTTTCTAGCAAATTTTACCTCTGAAATCTTGTGACCCTGATCTCTTTCAATCGCAAATATTTCTACTTCTATTCAATATAGATGGATGTTTTTTCCCCAAAAGGAAGTCAAATGAACAGGCTTTAAGATGATACCAATAGCCTCATATGCCCAAAGATTAACGAGCACCTGATTCCACCACGTCGTGACACATATTGGTTGACACTTTGGATGAGTCGTTATAACCCATTCACCTGTTACTGTTTGTCCGTTCTATTATTGAATGAGTTCCTGACCAGGGGAGGTTTATGGACCTTCAAAGTGTTTACCCATGTTGCACAGTAGGTAACATTTTAAGTGACCTCACTGACTCATATGACCTTATGCAGTTGCGAGCGCTGTAAAACCTGTACTAAAGACCTCACTGCAGTCCTAAACCCGTGATTTCTGCTGGTTGGGACCTCAGAATGGCTTGTTTTCTTCATTTTGATCTGTCCTGCCTAAAGTGACCACTTTTTTCCTCGACAGTGTTGGCCATCTTAGTTAGTTTAGTATGGGGTTTTACGGCGCTCACAACTGCATAAGGTTATGTGAGCGCTTGGCCATCTTAGACAATTTTAACAGTGTAACTTTTACCTATGTATTTGTTTGATTGACAGGTTGTTTTCAAGGGAACTGTTGGAACTGGCTATGCTGGTGACATAGAAGTTGATGATGTTTCTTTCCGCAACACAGCTTGTGAAATAAATGGCAAGTCAAATTTTTTACTTCCTAGCATTACACTTTTTCAAACAAATTGATTAGAGGTTTTAGGCTTTAATCACTCGCTTCAGTATTTGCCATAATCATACAATATCAGTTTTATGTTTGGTAAGAATTGGACTACTTGCAAGTATTTTCCCACCCATCTCCCACATTGAGCTAAGAGCTTTGACTTTTAAAGGTCTAATTTTCCTTGGTAAAAAAGAAAGCATGAAGACTGGGAATTTTACCTCTGGTAAGCGCCTTTAATGAGATTCTAAAGGGTAATGATAATATGAGCTATGATACTTTTTTTGTCCAAGTTGGATGAATTGTTTTAAAAAGATATTATTCCTTTATATTGTTCAAGATACAATTTTGTAACACTAAATTGATTTAATTGTGATTTTGAATGTTGCATTGCAAACTAAAATTTTCCAATGAAGATTCTGTTCTTTCTCTCAGGGAACAATGACTTTGAAAATGGCTTGGATTTGTACATGAATACAGCAACTGGTGATGACTTTGATTGGGTGATTGGCAGTAGTGGCTCTCGTGATGTTCTTGATGCTACTCTTCAATTTAGCGATCACACTCGCAGAAGTTCTGATGGTAATAATTGATTTTCCTGACCAGTATCTACTTAAAAAAGCTCAGCTATCAGTAGGCTTGTGACCAATTGTTAGGTTTGTGCTAATTTAAGAACTTTTTTACAACTTTTTGTCAATAGTTAATGCTTCCATAATCCGATCCAGCTCATGGCCTTTTGTGTTAGCTAGTCTCTCTGTGTTAACCTGATTGTGACACGACCCTAGGGAATCAGGGATGTATCAAATTTTGCGTGTATACAGTTATTGGTATCATCATAAAGCTTGTTCATTTGTCTTTAAAAAAAAATAAATAAAAAAATACCAATGTATTCTGAACAGAAGTCGTGATATTTGCGAACTGAAGAAGGTGGGGGTCACCTGATGTCAGAGATAAAATAAGCAAGAAAATTGCCTCGAGATTTGGTGACTTCCAAACCTTTAGTGCCCTTGGAATGTGCTAGTTTCCATTTTTTTGTGCCTTTGACCAATGTTTTTCAGTAAAATCCAAACTAAAATGAGTCTTCAAGACATAAATGATGTTGAGCCATTAAAAAGGAAACGATGTGGTTAAAAATTGCCCGAGGGGCTGAAAAATGTCAGTTTCTTTGATTTCATTATTTTGACGAACACCTGATTTATGTGCAAGAGATGCTAATGATAAAAACTCTTTTAATGGCCAGCCCTTTCCTTGCTCTTTTTTTTCAGGTCATTTTGCAGCAGTTTTAGCTTCTGGCCAGAGCCCGAACAGCAGAGCCCAGCTGTTCACGCCACAAATTGCTATAGGAAATTATGCCTGTGTCTCTTTCTATGTGTACAACTATGCTGGAAGCATTGGAACCCTCAACGTGTATGGTTTTGACCCATCTGGAAACCGCACAACCCTGGAGTGGTCTTTAAGCACTTTAGCCAGTAGATGGGCCTGGAGCAGAGTTGGGATATCAACGAGCAACAGTACAATGCAGGTAGTGATCGAATTCTTTCGTGTTGTCCTTTCAAAACAGTTTTGTGAATGGTATAGCTTGTTCACTTTCGTCTGTTTGTGTTAAACAAATTGAAGCTCATTATTAATTCACCTATGCCAACGAAACTTTGCATGGCACTTCTGCAGGCCAGTGACCAAACAATAATATTTTATCCCAAAAATCTTGATCCTTATGTCTATATAATTTTTTTTTTCTTTGGGCCCTGTATTAAAAACCCATCTTTGGATACATACGCAGGATCACTAAAATAAATGACTAACAGTAACCTTGCCGATAAATTGCTCCTTTTGAGACAGAGACACCACCCTGGCCCCAATATTTCAGTGTAGATTTCATCTCCCAGCTGTCTAAATGTCTCCACGTTCTCCATAACAGTCTTGAAAATTACTCACTGCGTCTCTTTAATTGTTTTTCTTAAGCGTTCGTTAAAAGGTGATGTTGAGGAAAATTTATCAACTTTTAAATATTTTAAGGGTATGCTGTAAATCCACCATTTTAAAAATAAAAACTCACTTTAGGCTTACTCCAAAGAATAGGTGTTGAAACCTTAGTTTTGAGTGACCGTCTTAGTTTTGTTGGGCATACAAACATTTAAAGGTGGAAATGAAAATTATCAATGATATATGACTGCTGAAGTTGTATGGTATTATATTCACATTTTCCGGTGAAATGAATGCTATTGAATTTTGCTGATTAATTGCATGTTTTCTTTTGCCTTTAGGTGATATTTGAATATGTCATTGGAACAAGTACTAGCGGAGTGGTTGCCATTGATGATGTTATCATCTCTTCAAGCTACTGTAGCGGTAAGTAATGATTTTCTATAATGACATTTGTCAGTACATTGTAGATCTGTAGAAAAAAAAGAAGCCATAAGATAAGATAATACTTTATTGTCCCAAAGGGAAATTTTTTGTTGGCTGCACTGGACTGTGAAAACACATGCAGGTATACATAAAAATTAAATTACATATTACTCCCATTAAAATTCAATGAAAGTAATATGTAATATAAGTTTTATGTATACCTGCAAGTGCTTTTACGATCCTGTACAGCCCCCACTCAAATGTGTCACGAAGTGGAGGAATCAGGAGCTTGTCAAATTTTGGGCATGGGGAGTTATTGGTAGGGCCTATCAACTCAAACCATTTTCATTTGTCTTGCTTTCAGGGAAAAAAATATCTATCTATCTTGAATAGAAGTCAAGATCAAGATATTTGTGATTGATGGAGGTGGGGTCCCTGGGTTTCAGAGGTAAAATTAGTGATAAATTGACCTCCAAAATTTAGTGACTTTAAAATGTGTGTTGTTTCAGGTCCATCCATTCACTCCAAAGTAGCCCTTTCTCAACCCTTCGCATGGTGCTGTGGGAGGCTATGACAATAATGATATCGGTAGTTCTTGGTCTTGCAACTTGAAGCCAGCCAAGCACTTTTGTTAAGGCCTCAATCTCCATTTTCATACTTGAAGTTGTTCTTTCTATGGCCTTGTGACATGCTTTAAACCTGTTTTTCCCTACTATACACCACAAAACCCCAGCCACTCCTCTCACCCTTCTTGATCGATCCATCCATGCAGATCACTGGGTTCTCTGACTTAGACTGCTCCTTAAATAACTGTTGTATGTCATTGTCATTAATGACAGCAGCATATTCCCATCTTTCTCAACCCATAGTGATGACGTTGACCAGGCTTCTGCAATTGGTGCTCAGTTCAAACCATTCCTTTCCGCTGCTTATTTCATCAGTGCCACAAACTTTCCTCAAGGAGTCTTCAGCTTCTGCCGTCCATGAGCTGCCCCGTTTGATCCTATTTCCTTTGATGCTGCTTAAGTTGTCATGCAAAGGGTGCCCCAGGTCTCCCAAAACATTCAAGTACAGCTTTGCCTGTGCCACTTTATGCCTCACTCTGCTGCTGGCCAGGTCCAGGATGTATCTCATACAGACAACATGGGTGTCCTTTGTGCAACCTAGAACGACCCTCATAGCTGCATTCTGTACTCTCTCCAACCTGTCTGTCTAAGTCTTAGACAGGGAGAGGATGCCCAGACCATAGTCTATGACTGACAGAACCACCAGCTGCGTAAGGAGAAAAAGAACTCTCTGTTGAATTCCCGCTGAAGCCAAAGTCTTCAATACATTAATGCCCTTCTGAGCCCTGACAGCAACATTGTCAATATGTTTTCGGAAAGAAAGTGTCCTGATTTCAACACATCTAATCTGATATTTTTTTTCTCCCCCTTTCAGCCATCCCATCATCAGCGGGACAAGGCTCTGTTACTGTGACACCCTTTCCTTCTGTGTCGACTACCAATGCTCCAGGTAAGAACTAGGACATCCCCCCCCCCCCCAAAAAAAAAGAATAAAAAATCTTTTCAATTTTATTCAGTTGATGTGAACATGCCAAGTTTTTGTTTTAACCAATATTCCCTCTTTGTACATAATGCAGTTTGAATTATGATTTGGTAGCTGTGTCAATATTTTTGTTTCCAGAAGCAGATGAGGATAATAAATTTGGGTCGAGAAATCACGTACATATACTTGCGTCTCTTAACTAAGGTCCTGGCGTGATACCTTGTCCGCGTAAGGATAGTTGACGGATGACTGAGTTGGGGTTTTTTCCTAATTATTTTCACACCGTGATCTTGAAGTATGTGAACTCAAAACATCCTGGCTTTGAGATAAAGAAAGAAAAATAAATGCAAAGTTCTTGTTGCATGTCAAACTCTTTTTTGCCAGTGAAAATTTGTAGGAGAGAATACCTGCCCTGCTCAGTTGATAGAGCAAAATTCTAAATAAATTCCATCCTAAAATCTGAAGCAGCTGGTCATTGTAAGTAATTAAGAGCATCTTTGAAAATGAAAAGGTGAGGATTTGAAAAGTGAGGGACTATATTATATTCTTTCTCTGGGATTTGATAAGGAAGGAGGGGCATAAACAACAGTAAGGAGGAGGAGGAGGAAGAAGAGGAGGAGGGAAAAAGCAACATTTATGAGGAGGTGGAGGAAGAGGAAGAAGAGAATGAGGGGTAAACAATGATAGTGAAGGAGAGGAGGAGGAGGAGGAGGAGGAAGAGGAGGAGGAAGAGGTGCAAAACAACAGTAATGAAGAGGAGGAGGAGATAGAGGGGGGGGCCTCACTGTAATATTCACAAACCGGCTATAGGTTCATACTAGGCTTTTGAACTTGTTTTCACCTTCTGTTGACAGTGCCTTCTGTCCTGAATTGTAACTTTGAGAGCAGTTGTGTGTGGACCCAATCAACTCAGAACCAATTCAACTGGACCATAGTATCAGTCTCATCCATCAGAGATTCAGGGATTTACAAACCATATACTGATCACACTCAAAGCTCAGGTGGGTTTTTATCAACATCAGTAATCTTTTTCTCTCTCTCTGTCTCTTTCTATCTCTGTCACTGTCTCTGTATCTGTCTTTGTCACTCTCTCTCTCTCTCTCTCTCTCTCTCTC